AAATAACTATCTGGTTTAGTACCGTCAGACTAATCTTTGTTTATATTTACCTTTCCACAGTTGAAAAAAATACAAAAATAAATACTATTAACTATTTCTTTTTTTCTGTTTAGGTGCACTTCTCAAATATTTTTAGATGAACACCGTTTTGGTGTTTGGTTTATATATAACATTTTCAACCATAGTTCATGGTGTTATATTAACACTACTTGGTGTTGGATTTTGACACCATTTTAAGATTACTCTTTACACCACAGATATTTTAAACAGTGTAGTAATAGTACTAATAGTAAAAACTTTTGGATTGTTGTGCTCTTTGGATGTTTGTAATTTTATTTTATCTTAGGTGACTTTTAACTTCTTTTAAATTCTAGTTTTGTCTCCTAGTCTTTTGTACCGGGTAGTGGTTTTTATAACCGTGTACCGGGTTTCACTTAAAATCCATACAGTGGGTACCGGGTACGGCTATACTTACTATACAGGGTAATGAATACCAAGAGACAAAAAATATTAATTTGCTTTTGAGATTGGATTCCAACCAAAAAATGCATATTTTTTTCCGATCCACCTTTGTTTTGGAGATTTTAAGGCATACAGTTTTATAAACATATAATTTTTGTCTATAAAATTCATATAATAGTAAAAAACATACAAACTTTCTCATAAATGCAGATAAAATTACAAAGAAAAGCAATTACGAGACAGAATTAAGAATACTGTACATAAAATTCAAAAGAACAAGATTTTGCTTAAATTTACAATTTTATGGTTTTTCGTTGCAAGCACTTTTCGTCATGTTTTTTTCTATGTGTAACCGTGAAAGTGATTAAATACAGTTTTCTTAAGGTATTAGTTTTTTGAAAAACTTAAAATTATATAATTATAAAAGTTCAATTAAACCTTTTTAAATGCCTGGTATACCATATATAATAAACCACACGGTATATCTTTCACATCGCTGGCATATTATAATAATGGTTTTAAGAAAAGTTTTTTACTTTTTATTTAATGGACTTTAGAACCACACATCGTACTTATTGGAATATATCAGGGACTTACTAGTTTGGATAGTTATTAATGCCCATTAAATTTATGGAAACGCCCCGCTTTATTAAGATAGTTCGGAAATTTAAATCCGCTCTCTATCGCAAAGTGCAAAACAAAAATTCCGTTTAACCATAACGGTAAAATTTATTGTAAAATTTATAAATAACTTTGCAATTTAGATTTTTAAGTAAACCAAATAACGTTAATGTTGAAAATTATAGCAAGCATTTTGAGACAGGGAAGATAAAAATCGTGCTTTGTCAAAGTAAATAACCTCTTTTATGTTGCCAAAAGAAGCATTTATTTTCGTACCACATTAATAGGGCCACTTGTGAGTTGAAGCTACGCGACAGCATGATAAACTTTTTGCTTTTCTTTGCACTGAAAATTAATTTAAATCAGTTACGTTTATAGCTTATTTAACCTTTTCGATTTGTAATGTGGTTTTGGATTTCAAAGCAAACACGTTAATTTTAAATTTATTTCTAATTTATATTCAATTTTAAATGATAGGATGAAAAAAACTTCACCTGATTGGTCTATATTATTTTACAGCCCAGGAGATAATCGAATATTTTGGCAGTGAGCGTTGAAAATAATACGGCCTAAATTATAGAATGCTAGAAGATAATAGTATATTATGTATAAAGTTTGATAAACGCCATTTTAGTCACGAATGTAATTTAGGAACGAGCGAGTGCTTAATTAAATGAGTGTTGCATTCTATACTTTTTCTACGACAAATACTTATTATTATCTTAAAATGATTTAAATTATACACTGTTTAAAATATCTGTGGTGTAAAGAGTAATCTTAAAATGGTGTCAAAATCCAACACCAAGTGATGTTAATATAAACACCATGAATTATGTTGAAAATGTTATATACAGCAAACACCAAAACGGTTTTTATCTAAAAATATTTGAGAAGTGCACCTACACAGAAAAAAAGTAATAGTTCATTTAATTAAATTAATTTAGTTGACACATAAATATTTATTTAGATCAACTGTGGAAAGGTTAATATCAACAAAAATTAGTTAGACAATACTAAACCAGATAGTTATTTTATTTTTTTAAATTGGTTAAATTAACCCAAAAAACTTGAAACTTGAAACCAACCCGCTGTATGGTTCAGTTTACTAAATATCTTGTTTGTAAAATAACAGTTACTTCAACATAAAGCACTCTGTTAATACGATTAAAATAATTTGCCGTGCATTCCTGGTTGCATAGTATGTACCGATCGCGGCAAAGGCGGTGTGGATCACGTGATGTTCTTAAATCTCGCCTCTGTTGACTTACATGAAGAGTATATAAGCTCAGGTAGTCCTTTGCTTTGGTGTGACACTACAAGTTGTTCGATACTAAAGAGACCTTAAATAGGTGAAAACAGCTGTCAATACTTGAAGTATTTTAAGTTGGTGGAACGCACTGAAAACATTATCTCTAGCGAGTTGAATGTTGAATTTTCTGGAATAATACCACTGGTAATATACAAGTAATGCGTCAAGGAACTTCCTGTTTCCTTTTTTTCTGTGTAGTATGATTTAATTTGACCAAAAACACATAATATTTAACACTTAAAAGAAGTTCAATTTACAACAGGTAATTTTATAAAATTTATTTTATTACTGTGTGAAAGTTAAATTTACACTATTGAATATTTGAATTTACACTGGACCAACGAATCATATTTAACACCATTTTGGTTTGTATCGATATAGACCATGTATGGTGTTAATTTGGTGTTAAAATGATCATGAAATTTTGAACAGTCTATATGTATGTATAAAGCGACATCTATACAAAAATAGAGTAACCGTAGGAATAGGAATCTGTATTACCAGCACAGGTGAACATGTCAAATTTGTATCTGTAAATCGAAATGTTTCATGAAAATGGACTAACAATATTATTTCACAGTGAAAGTGAAGAAAATGTTGGAGTCTCCACCCGAAATTAAGTTAAATCTAGTTTACTGCCGGCGAAATTACAAGTACAATGTTCATAATATATTATAAACTTTTCAAATATCGATGGTTATTTGACAAAACATCGTAAGCGACAAAACCTAAATTTTACAGAAGAGATTTTTTTTGTTTGGTAGCTTTATTTTTAAAGTTCTTTATTTGAAAACTTATAGGCTAGGCATTATTTTATTAATGTAGAATTCAAATATTTAAGTAAGATCGAATCAAATCTAAAATTTTCATTAAATTTTGTGGCATACGATATTTTATAAAAACATCTTTACTAAAGATTCTTTAGGAAAATGTAAAATTAGTCTTGCCGCTTAAGTTACATGTACGTTACTTTGTGGGATATAGATTTGATGATTACTTTTGTCAAAACATCGTTAGCGACATTATTTTTTTTTACTTTTATTATTAAATAAAAAAAAATTACAAAACAATTAATTTATAAAATATCACCAACGATATATTGCCAAACAATGTTTGAAAATGAAATTCTACATTAGTTTTATTTGAAAAAACCGAACGATTTTTATTCAACCAGTATCTAACCCATGGAGCCTACACAAGGAGCCCGAACTTAATAGGGAAAATTGACAAAACCTGCCCTCTAAATTGTACAAATTAAGTTTCTTTTTTTCACCACCAGCGGCGCTGACTGTCGATGCTAGCGTTTCGGTACAAATTAAACAATTGTTTTAGAATAAACGGAACACCAGCGCCCTCTTATCTTGGGAGGATTCTTGTTTACATGATGTTCGGACTCCTTGTGTAGGCTCCATGATCTAACCCATGGTACCGTCATCTAACCGTTATAAATTTGAGTCAAATTATTTGACGCTAGAACAACATACAATAACTACAAAAAACACTTTTAACGAACCACACTACGTAAAAACAATTATAATTAGGATAACTATTAATAATGCAATTAAAAAAAAGGAATTATAAGTTTTTGATCAAATAAAATATTGTTTTAAAACTTGGTAGCAATCACCACGGTGCAGGTATACTCACGAATAAACTGTTTAGAGCGGTAATAACGCCTTAATAGATCAAGGCGGGAGCACAATATTATCGTAAGCGACACAATGTTAAATCGCAAACGCCATGTCTCGGAGTTGCTTACGATTATTTGTCGGGAACATATAGGCGCTTACGTTATAAATCGGTAACAAATTAAAAAGAAGAGGCGCTTACAATAATAAAAATATTCAAACTGACCAATATTAGATTCCAAAATTGGGATAACTATTATGTTAACATGTGCAGCTTATCGTAACTGACACTTTGATAAAATAAAAAGTAATTCAACAAAATTGTCGCTTACGATGTTTTGTCAAATAACCATCGATATTGGCATTGAAAAACTATTTAAATTTTGTATTTTTGTTTTGAGATAATAAAATAATTTTTACATTAAGTAATATTTTACAAGATGGGTACCTACCTACTTTATTTTAACGATTGTATGAAATTGTCAACTATCTTAAAACTAACTTCAGCCTCTGACTAAAAACCTATTGCTTACTTCAGCCCGTGACTAATGCCATAAAGCCACAACTTTTGTATTTAGAAGGTCACTTAGTGTCATGGAAACATGTACGATAATGGAAGTTTTAAAGTTGAGAGTAGAAAAAAACATTATGTATATAAAATATAATGAGTTTTGCATAGTTTCTAATAAAAACAGAAGTAGAAAATGTGTTGACCAGTGTAATTCAAACTTGCAAAAATATTTCTTGCTACATACTAACAGTTTTCGACCAGCAACAGTTTGCGTTTATAAATAGTAAATATTTTCAATTTTCGACAAAAATACCGAGTAAACGTATAAAAGCATGGCAGTATGCCGGGTCTAAATTTAGCTTCGGTGTTCCCGGTTTGGGTTGTTATTGTTAAACAGCTGTTTAATACAAATAGTGCAGCAAGTGCGCGATGTCTCCTAAAAATTTAGTTCCGCCCTTAAATTATATAGCCTTAAAGTGATCTCGAGCAAAATTATACACGCGCTGGCCGACGACGAGGGTCTGAACGACGACGCAGTGGAAAATTACATACTGGGGGCTACATATGAGGTTGTTCAAGACTTATTAAAACATATTTTGAATTCCATTCATCTTGATGCTTCGACGAGATTCAGTTGCTTGCAAGTTTTGCTTAGGGAAGATGTTAAAAAGTTAGATACCGGCATATTTCCGAACTCTTATTATGATAAAATATTGCAAACTATTTGCGCGAAGGGCAAGAGGCTGCAGCATCTTAATTTAAGGGAGTTTGGGTGCGGGACTACCCAGATTCGCTGTGCCAACTAATTAAAAGTTTGAAGTGTTTAAGAGTACTAATTATACCGCATATAGTTAATGATGCCGTGATAGAAGCAATAGTGCAGTGTGCGGACATTTCGTTTTTAGACATTTGCGGAGAAGCGTGCTATTCAGCTGCAGGCATTATGAAGCTAAAAAGTGACAATATACGTATTCTCGACATAGGGAATTTCGGAAAATTGGACTTGTGTCAGCAAGAATCGAGCGGCCCGGAATTAATTGCAGACTTGATACAAAGTTTGCCGAATCTGACAAGCATCCGAACATATTCATTTACAGGACAGGCCATATTGATTCTGCAAATAAAGAGCGCACAATTAAAACAAAGCTAACGTATTTGCACGACACAGGCACGAATTTGGATGTAATAGGGGCAATATTAAATTTATGTCCAAATTTGGAGAGCATTCACGTCGCCAACCCTGAACCGGGAGTAATCGAGAAACTCGTTTGCATTAAGAAGCTGAACTGTTTAAAATTAACGAGACCCATTGCAGCCGAGTTGATGTATTTGCTACGAATGTCGGGCCCGCAACTGCAGGTGCTTAAATTAAACCACAACAAAAACTGTTCCCTTGACCTTTCCGAGATTTGTGTGAACGCTCCTAACCTACAGACGCTGGAATGCTTCCAAATAAAACTGACTTTCTCGCAGCTGGACACGTTCTTTATGTGCCTGTCCAATGTAGAAATTCTCTACTGCGAAGTGTCCGATTTCGTGATCAAACTTTTCCTATCGAACAGCCCCTTCTTGAAACGGATCGTGGTCGGGTGCGTAATCAACATGACGGACGGCGATTTGTTTAGACTTTGCGCGGGAATGCGATTTTATTAATCTCGAAGAGTTGTGGTTCTCATGCGCAAGGGCACTGACATCAACTTCCGTTGAACTTTTGATGGGACACTGTCCGAATCTGAAGGTTATCGGGCAACTGACCGGCTGGGACGTACATCAAGAAGAATTGGACTATCTCCGTACGATTATTGCTTCCTCAAATACTGATCTGACCCTGTTGCCTGTTGGAAACTTTCCTTGATGTGATATAAATAAAAACTGTGGTAAAAGTTTTCATTGTAATAACAATAAAGACTAACTGTTTTGCAATTTATTTATTTTAATATTATTTTTAAAACTTTAGGAAATAAATAATAGAAAAAACATTTAGAATAGAATAAACTATTGAAATGTACTCACTAAAAGTATTACAAATAAGTAAATTTTATTATTATTATTAAATTTAAATAATTCATTTTTTGTTTAATTGTTAACATATTACTTTATTTCAGGGCCGGATTTAAGCATGTGGAGGCATTTTAATTTAACCCATACCTATATACCGGATGTATCTGAGAATAGGCGCACCCCTGTTACTTTTTTATTTATAAAGATAGACACATCAAAGTTATGGTTAATTAGGATAGAAAATGCCACTTATAAGAGTACAAAATGAATTTTTTGAAATTCCGGTTTCGCCGGAAATGATATCAATTTTGGTTTTTAAATAGAACGTCCTATATATTTTTACAAATTTAGGATGAACTATTTGAGAAAAACTAATTTTGACAAGTTTACTGCTGAAAATAGCTAAATAACAACTTTCTAAGGCAAGTTCCATTTTTCAGAAATTGTGTGAATCCATTAGAAGAAAATAAGATAGATCAAAGCACTCTAGATTGATTTTTATGATGATGCACTTTCTGATGACGAAACGTCAAAAGGTCAATTTGAGGATGCTGTCTGACTCAGAATTTCCTCAGGATTCCAAATATGTAAAAATATATAGGGCATTCCATTTACAAACCGAAAGTTGGTATCATTTCCGGCGAAACCGGAAGTTCAAAAAATTATTTTTGTAGTCTTATAAGTGGCATTTTATATCCTAATTAACCATGCCAAATTTCATGTGTCTATCTTCATAAATAAAAAAGTTACAGGGGTGCGCCTATTCTCAGATACACCCGCTATTTTAACAAAAAAAAAGACCATAGTGAAAAACCTATTCAGGATTAAAAACAAAATTGGTTAATTTAATTAATTTTTGATTATTAACATACATTTTAACAATTATTTACAAAAAATCTTATTTTCATGCCAAAAAATTTTACACAACACAACATTTATTAAATATACAGCCCGTTCAGAGTAAAACCGAATATAGGGAAACGTTTTAGGCGTGGCCTCGCCTCCCTCCAACGCGCGTCACAATAGCTTGTGTGATAAACGACATGACGAAAGGTCGAGCAGGTAAGACGACCTTAAAAATTAAAATGATAATGCAAAAAATCTCATTAGCGATGCAGGCTATTTGCTTAGCTACTGTGTCGCGCGTTGGAGGGAGGCGAGGCCACGCCCCATATATTTCTCTATATTCGGTTTTACTCTAAACGGGCTGTATATATATATATATATACATATATATATATATATATATATATATATTATACATATATATATATATATATATATATATATATATATATATATATATATATATATATATATATATATATATTAGGGTCATGAAATTGCGGTGACCTTTATAACCCAAGTAATTGGAACTGTAAAGTATATTGCCAAAATCTCTACCACGTAATAGAAACGGTTCTATATTGTGGAAGTGACTTAAATGGGGAACACTTTTTTAGTGTCAGTTAGTTCTTCAATTGTATACATACACGTTTATACCACGAATGCAAGGGAAGGGACGAGTATACGAGGGTACTAATTAAATACATAATTTATTGGAAAATATAAGATTTATTCCAACTTTAAGCATATTATACATTAAATATTTTAAAATCAAATAATACCACACATCAGTGGCGGCTGGTGGGTTTTGGGAATACGGATATCTCAATTATTAGATGTGGGACCCACACCAAATTTATATGAGTTTATAATGACATTAAATAAACAAGTTCTGCCCAAGCAGAATTTAAATTGAAGTTTGCAAAAAAAAGTTAAATGAAACATCGAACATGGAACTGACGACAGGGTACTGATGAATGGGATACAAATTTGAGATTATAATTCGGAATTAAGTATTTTACTGATATTTTTTATTAGTGGATGCTACTTATCAACAAATCACATATAGACTTATATAAATTACAATGAAATATATATACGTAAGAAAATAACTACTCAGCACAGTACTGAAATTTTGACTGGAACTATACGTGTATTTACCACAACTTCGCCGCTTGCATTGTTTTTAAGATGACTATCGTGTAAAGAGCGGGCTCTGTGGGTATTTTTTTACCAACACGAGGACTTGACGTTTAAACTTTTATTTCGCAGGAATTTTGAATTTTAACATTGAACACAGAACTGACGGGTAAAAGTGAGTACAAAGATGATCAATTTTTTAAAAATTGCTATTATTTGAATCTATGATAAAATATGAAAAATACATTATTTAATGTTTTATAGTTTGTAGTGAAATTGAAAAATTTAAGATAAATTGAATATATTTTAAAATAAAATCACTCAAATATTTGATTTAGGAGTTGTGACACGCCAATGTTTTTTGAATATTTATTATGTTTTTCTACAAACGTGCTTTTGAAAAAATACATTAAAATTGGGTGGACAAGTTAAAAAAACCTGGATCTTTTATAATATACTAAAATATTTACAAAAAATTTTAAAATACCCCTCTACACTGAAAGAAATATATGTTTGTTTTAGCAATGTTTGTGGTTCATATATGGACTACCACATACATTGCTAAAACAAACATATATTATATTTAGTTTTAACATAATATGTTAAAACTAAATATAAAAATGGTTAAGGTAAATATATTATATGTTTGTTTTAGCAATGTATGTGGTAGTCCATATATGAAACATAAATTTCTTTCAGTGTATTGACTGATGACATCAAGTTGTCAAACTTTTGTAAAATCACCCATATATTTAAGCACGAAAAGGCAGTTTTAAATAATGTCGTTTAAAAAAGAAAAATGTGGTTTTATAATGATAAAAACGAAGGAAAGAAAGCGTTTTCTTAAGTACAAAGGTGAAATATATTGGGTTTTTGTAAAATAATTCCTTACATTAGAAAGGTTAAGCGGAAGTTATTCGAATGCAAATCCGCGTAAGAACGCTAAATGGCGGCCTGGCTGCAATATTTTTGTTCCATTATGCGCGGACAAAGAACGAACATTCCCTGTGTGGTCTCCACTTCGTGTCTATTATTATCCACCCATAAAAAGTACCATTTTTAAAGATTGTCCCATTATATGTTGCGACGGGGTTGAAACAAATCGCGGACCGAGGCGGTCGGAAACAAAAAATTGCGCCGTGCAAATCTCTTTTCACATATTACAAAAAATATTGCATACATTTCATTCATATTTTCGGATGTTCAGTGAAATTGCAAAGCTTTCAGCTGATATCTCGCTCGAATACTTTATCTTTTCCATTATTACTTTCTCATACCTTCAAATTTGCCGGCATGCACTTTTTGTTATTCCTGAGACTACTCTAAAATAATGATAGCGCACCTTCTGTCACTCTTTTTTGATTATGTTACACTTAGAAAACAAAACATGCTCTTTATACCCTTTACAACATTAATTTAATCCTTCCTTTCTTTCTATCTTTCTTTCTTTCTTTCTTCCTTATAAATCATAGACACAACCGTAAACTGTTTTATGTCTTTTATTATTTTAAGATTACAACACAAAAATATGGCACGCCGCACATAGGGGTATTTTGCTGATCTAGCCGGTCAAAATTATTTATTAATTTATTTTTATTTTTAACAACTCGCTGGTTAACTTTAGGGCATCGTAAGTGTTTTTCAATATAAAATGACTTAAAATATTGAAAAAATATATACAGGGTGGCTTTTTTAACTTGAAACTTTCAGATATTTCCTGTAAAAAGCATTGGAAAAAAATAAACATATTCAAAATTTGATCATAACGGACATAATTTATTAGTGCTAAAATCAGTCCCCCTCCCCACTTCTTGCAGGTGGGGTGGGGGGGTAACTTTAAAATATTAACTGGAAACCCCTACTTTTTTGACGGATTCTGATTTTAGTGCTAAAAATACGTATGATCTGCCTAATTCCTAGTAAAATTCTAAGTTCTTATTGTAAATGGTCAAATTTATTTTTTAAACCAAGTTACTTCCCGCCCCAACTACAGGGAGTGGGGGATAGGAAAAAGAAAAAAGAAAATCGTACGTAAGCACAAAAATCAGAATACTCTGAAAAAATAGGGGTTTCCATTTAAGATTTAAAAGTGACCCCCCTCCAGGCCCACAAGGAGAGGGGAGGGGACTAATTTTAGAGCCAATAAATTAACCCCGGAAATGATTAAATTTTGATTATGTGTATTTTTTTGCAGTGATTTTTACATGAAATATCTGTTTTAAGTTAAAAAAGCCACCCTGTGTAAAATAAAACCATTTTGCATTAAATAATAACTTATTTTTTTCTCAAACAAAATGTCTGAAATTTAGCAAGATGATGCCATGATTCTTCCTCGTCTTATAATATCAGCGTTACACTTGGCCCTTGAAAATTTTCTAGCGAAATTCTGCCTGTACAGCCGGAAATGCTTATTCCGTGCCTCAGCGGCTTCTTGCGAGAGCAACCCAATTCCTATAGTAATGCGCAAGACCCCCACTCCACTAACGCTCTGCTGTGCCGAATATTCGGTATTCGGCTATTCGGCCAAATCGGTATTCGGCGCATCACTAATAAATACGTGACACGGCAGTGTCATGCACAAAAACCAGTTCCTATAGGATTAAGTTAATTTAAATAACAATTTTGAATTCTAAAAATATTGTGAGGAAATTTTGCAACCGCGCAAA